GTAGTATTAAATAATTTTTTCTCAACAAATACGCGGTTACTGACATAGCTACCTCTCCTCCATCCATTTACTCATACTACATCAAACATGAATGAATGTAAACATGTTGTTATATTAACCTAGGACATTTTTTTTCAAGACTTGTCCGTATTTTTTTTTTAACCTAGAATATAACATCTGAGTAGAATAATAACTCTAGATGATGATTATACAATTCAGTTACTCATTTTTTTTCATTATCATCTCAATAGCCAAATAATGCTTAGACATCTTTTCTTTTCCTCAACCATATACTGCCCAAAAAACCACATCAAGTGTTCTTCTGGGAAAGGAAATGTAATTTATGGGCATGTAAAATAAACAACTTAATTATATTCTTTTATTTACCTTTATATGAATCGATGATCAGCAGAAGGATGATGATTGATCTTATGAAACTAAACTGAAACAAACAAACTGCAACCTAAGAGGCTTTGGAAAAACAAAACAAAAGTTATGTATACTAGAAAAAATTATTCCTTAATCAATATTAATAGAACGAAAGAATCTCCGAACTAACTAATGTTTACCTCCAATATATACACAACCTTGATGATATTTCGGGAATTCAAGCAGTGAAGGAAGGCTAAGAAAATGGTTGACACTGTTGGTACGTGTATGGTTTTTGGAAATTTGAAGGAGGCAACAATTAGCTCAACAACACAAGCAAGAACAAACGATAATGAATTGGAGTGAATATATATAAGAATAAAGTCTAAACTTGTTGATAAATAAAGACTTGTAGGAATTTGGGATTCTGGATTTATAGCAGTCTGCAGTATTTTATAGCATAGAATGATCAAGTCCAAGAAAAGTCTTATGTTGGAACGATTAAAGGAAATTTTTATCACTAGAAGCTTCAGAAGGGTGATGCAGGTGAAAAAAAATGTGGGTAGGGCCTCAAAACAGATAACGGGATTCAAATATTCAATATCTTTTTTTTTTTTCCAAATTTGATGTGGATTTTGATATTCTTTCATGCATGTATTTTCCCATTCACATCCAACTTATTGTTTGAAAAAGTAAGGTGCAAACAAAACTTACCTCTTCACAGCACCAGCTAGAAAATGCTAGCCACTAACTTTTATTCATTCTGCTTAGTTTTAGAGATCAAATACATGAGAAGTAAAAGACATATTAAAAAAACCAAAACCCAAAATCCTCTATGATATTAATCTTAGGCAAAACATATGTGTAAAAGATGTTTACCAGAAATATCAAGCCAATAACACAGCTGTGTCATGGGCCAAGTGGAGAGTTACTATCAGTACTCAATCTTGAATCTCCTTTTTCACGCCTATGAACTAGCAATCACAGCCAATCTCAAATGGGTTGTGCGAGAATTGTAATGGAATGAAAGCATAAAGCCAGAGAAAGAAGAACAAATATTAATTTAGACTTCTACAGTTATAGCAGCATTCAGTATTTTATTTAGAGCTTACATACTCTAGGAAATGTTTTTTTTTAATTGACAGAAATCTTACACTAAATAGCTTAATTCCAGGATTTTTCCTTGAAAACAGCTTTAAAAGTTGATCAAGTTAATCTGGTATATTGTACAGTTGAACTTTATAATATATATACTACCTACCGTTCCATAATAAAAAAGCTAATTATATAGTCAATTTGGTCCTAAATATAAGACTTTAAATATATATTTTTCTACCATATTAATTCATTTTGCCTCCAAGTAATCCCTATGTTGATTACATATGTTAAAGGGTTTCCATTAAAGATAATTCCAATACACATAATTATAAAGATATTTTTAAAAAGGAAGCACTCATTCATAACTAATTAACTATTTTTCTTATATTAACATATTAGTTATGTAGGTCATTTAGAACAGAGCAGTGGTCGGAAAGTATCCCCTAGAAGTCTTCTGGATCTGAGGCATCTTACTGACAATTAAGTTAAGTAGCATTTCTCTTCATCCAGAGACTTATAATGTATGAACCATCAATAACATTATTTTTCTTCTCTTCTAAATGTCAATGCATGGCTGAAAAAGGATTTCAGTTTAATATATTTCAGGAATTTATCGGTCTACTGATAATATATTAACGGATAAGAAGTTAGATAATTGTAGTTGTTGCTGATTCTGATGGTTCAGAATCAGAGGGGTGGGCATCCACAGTCCGAGCTGGCATCAAGATCCCATGTGGAGCAGCCTTGTGAGTACGCCATGCAAAGCAACAAAACTTCTGCACATAACTTGCTTCTTGGCATTCAGAAGCCATCCATTATCAGCGAATCAGGGAGATCTCCACAGGAATGGTAGAAGAAGAACAGAGCTTGAATACAAAAGCTACTCCGATGAACGGTGGAGGTGCCTTTGATTCCGAGAACGGCTACGATTGAGCAAATTCCTATAATTACAAACAAATATAAAAATATAATATTTGATACGATGGATGATGTTTCCTGTTAAGAGAGGTTGTTGAATAATGAGTTAAATTCTCTTTAAAGGTGTTTTCTTCATGGACGAGATCCAGGCAGAAAGCTAGATTCTTGCTTTTAAACCAGAGTTAACCATTCATCATACTTTATGCTCTAGAACATAGCTTACCATGCACTGACTTTAGGCATGTGTGAGCTTATTCTATGGCTTCTGACCTTGACTGAAAACTCGATGACCATTTTCAGTGTTTTTCTATTTTCATCTTCTTTGAATACTCTTTCTTTATTCAAGTTTTTCCTCTACCATTGTTCACTTTCCAGCGGGAGATTTAAAAGATCTATACCTTTTTAATGAAATACTGATAAGTTTTCCAATATAACTTCAGGGATGAAAAATCCGCTTACCTTGATGAGCTATGTAACTCCAGTAATGGCAGGGCCAACCGCTCTTCTCTCTCTTGCATTGGATCCATGGGGGGAATTCAGGCAAAACGAATATTTTAATAGTCCATGGCATATTACTCAGAGTAGTTTACTAATGCTTTTAGGTGGCGCACTTGCTTTTCTTATGGTAAGAGTAAATGTTCCCTTTCCTCGGACATGACATTACATTATTAATTGTTTGACTTTCTGCTTCTTTGAGATTTAAGCTTTCAATTTTTTCCTCCTCTCAAATCAGTTTTCAAAGGTGGATCTCCTGTTTGCAGGTCCTAACAGGGTATGTTCTTGTCTCAGTAACTAGTGCAGTCACCGTTACAATTGCTGGGGTTGTTAAGGAGGCTGTCACCATATTGGTATCATTTTTTTACCTTTTCTATGCCTGTTTGTTGACATGAACATCCAGTGGCTACCACCCTTTATTTTGGTCTGTCTCATATTTCTAAAGAACCTAGTTAAGGTGTCACTTTTGTGCTGATGTCATTCATGACTCATGAAAAAAATTACTTAAGAAGGCTTCCAAGTTACTTGACACAGATTGTGCATTATAATTTGATTAGTTTTTAGGTTGTTGTATTCAGCTTTCTATAATATTGAGTTGATGGTTTCTCTGCATTTGCTGATTTGGCGGTGTGGTGGGGTTTAAAAGGTTTTTCTATATGACTGCACCCTAGCTGCATTGAAAATATTGATAATTGTAACTAGTTGTAATTAGTAAATTTGATGAGGATGGGAAAAACAAATGTTTCATGCTGTTATATATTTTTCTACTCATTGAAGTGCTTTATATGCAAAATTAAATTTGATTTTTGTTAGGTTGTTAAATTGTTGTCATATATGTTTAATTTTCATGTTTGTGTAGGTTGTTGTCCTGTACTTTCATGATCAATTTACTTGGTTGAAAGGACTTGGCCTCTTCACTATCATTGTTGGTGTCAGTTTATTCAATTGGTACAAGTAAGTCAAAAGCTAATGCACTTCTCAACAATTTATTTTGGTATTTGGTCATAATTTTCTTCCCTCTTAATTTAATTTAGAGCCTCGAACTTCAAGGATGGTGATGGTCATGCTCTCTCTATTTTGAATGGCAGATACTTGAAGCTTCGGAAGGGTGAAGCGGGTAAAGAGGATGTGGGTGGGACCTTCAAAACAGATTCGGCTACAAAGTATGTTATCCTTGATGAGATGGATGAGCAAGAAGAGAGTTCCTGATTTATGAAGTCATTGTTAAAAACCACCGTTTAAAAGTAAGTCACTTCATGATTTATTCATGTTGATGATTGGAATCTTAATTTCTTTGGCCACGTCTGAAGTCATCACCGACGCTTCAAAAAAATTTCTGCTTTTCTTCCTATAAATTGACAATCTTGTGTCTTGCATGATTATGATACATCTAGAAAAAGATGGATTTATTCTTGAAAGAAGCTTTAGAGTTGCTTGATATGCTCTGATCTTCATCCCATCGCACTATAATATCTGATCCCAAATAAAAGACTGTTCTTTTCTGAAGATAGCTTGGTTATCTGATGAAAGAACATTGCTTTCAGTACTGAAATATGCTTAATACTAACACTCCTTTTTTCTATTGCAGTCCCTTGGGTATATTTTGAAGCTGATTGGGTGGAGAGAAGAGAGAACAAATTTCCCACATATAATAAACAACATTTTGTCTTTTATTTTGCTTCATTCATTTGACATTCTCTATGAGATAATTGCATAGGGGCTGTTGTATATTACAGAATAATAACTTGCTATTGTGTTATAATCTTGAAATTTTGGTTGGACCGTGCACAAGTTATTTTAAATGCCGGATGAATATTTACGGATTCTTATTGGCTATCGAGTTTTTAATTATGTCTGGTCTAATTATGAATTCTATGAAAATTTAGTTATAATATAAAATAATAGTTTATTGTTTTTTTATTTGTTAATATATTCTTTCTGATACTACTTTTATTAAGGGATGCGATCTTTTGGATGATTGTCAGAAACGTAAAATGACGCATTTCTAATGATATAATTTATGCACAATTATTTGTAATGGAGGTTTTTTTTTTCCTCAAGAAAAATTTTCTTTTTCAATCGTTCTCCTAATAAACATGAATATGTTTTGTATTTCTTTGTAAATAATAATTATAAATTATATTGCGACGTTGAAGTAAAGGACAATGGAAGAAATCATTAGTTAATGCAGCACATAACAAAGTGAAATTCTATACAAATGTTACAGATGAAATAAGAAGTCCACGTAGCCACGCAATTATTATATTTTGTGTACAGCCTTTGATGATGCTTTTGTCGTCAAAGCATTCAATTAAACTAGATCCTAATTAATTTGTAGTTTAGAGTCGACCTAGGTCATTATTTTCAAGGAGCAAGTTGTGGGTTTCTTTAGGTGATAAAAAAAAATGCAATAAAGTGGACCCAAACTAAAATGCAAAATTCTAATTCTAAATGCAAAATGCAAATGTCCTAAAATCTATATGAAAATTAAATCAAACTAAATGAATGCAATGCAATTTTTGGGGGGTTTTTTTGAAGGAAAATAAAAATAATGAATAAAGAGAATTAATCAGAAAGCAAAAAGAATTAGCAAGTAAAAATTCAGAGATTTCTCTTCAGATATGGTAGAGGGGACAACTTAGGATTCGCATGAATTCAACCTTCATAACCTTAATCAGTTAATTAGACCAAAAGGAGATGATAAGAGAGTGGAATTAATAAACTTAACTACCTACTTGAAATAAAGGAAACCCTTAACTTTAAAAACCCTTAAACCATTAGAGAACTCATAACAGTATAAGGTTGGTTAATTAAGCCTATTAAAACCAATGAAGATAATTCAATTTAATTTTGGAAATTATGTTTGAAATTATCCAATTAAACAATCAGATAATCAACCAACTTAATTAAACAATTAAGAGGTGAAAGAACCCAAATTTTGCAATTCAAACCACATTGATAATTAAACTCATAATGAAAACTCAATTATAAATTCAATTAACAATGCAAAGGTTCCAAACATATATTCCAACAAGTATCTTGGCACAAATAAGATCCAAATATCAATTTAGTCCAAGAATAAAATTGACAATCTAGAACTAAATTGTCTCAACAAAATTACAACTTGAACTCATTTAAAACTAAACAATTCAAGTCCTTGAATTAAAAGATAAATGGAATATCACTCCCTTGTGGTCTTCAAGTGCTAGTCCAAGGCTTTAGTCTCCTTCATGCTCCTCCCAAGTTGCCTCCCTAACAAGCTTAAGCCTCCATGAAAATTATCTTCCCTCCAAAGTCATTAGATGCCTAGCCATGAGGGGTGAAGAAGAGAAGATAATGCTTCGTGGAGATGAAGTGGATTAAGAAAGAAGAGGACGTGGATTATGTTGGTGAAAGAGGATGGTTATTTAATTGGTGGGTTTGCTTGACGTGAATGAGGGGGAGGAGAGTTGGCATTGAAAAATTGATGTCCGTGCGTGAGTCAATGGACAATGGAAAAGAGGTATCCTTAGGCGTGAATATGGGATCAATGATTAAGGGGTATTAGGCGTTGAATTGTCCTTTGATATTAGCCATCGGATTGTGCTTAGATTCCAAGAAACAATCTTGCACCATTGGATTTCCTATATGCCCCTTTCTTGACTTACAAGAATTTGAGTGCATCCATTAATGTAGATTATGTCCAAATATAATCAGAAATTAAATATTAAATCTGCACAAAAATTAGGCAAGAAAGTGTAAAACTTTCTAAAAATAATCTTTCTAGAAATATATGAGACTTGTTTTCAAAGAAATAGGAAAAATTAATTCCAAGTCAAAAATAGGAAAGCACAAAATATTCATATTTTCAATCCAAAATCGCAATTTTTATGCAAAATCCCACAATCAACCAATCAATCCAATTATGCATAAAAAATCTAATTAAGCTCAAAATTATCATTTAAATCCTGAATTAATGTGGGATAAAATATATAAAAATTGGGCTTTATCAGCCTTCAATGTAATTACATAACTCCAACACATCTCAAGTCAAACACAATTTCAAAGTAAAGATATATCTAATTTCTTATTTGTTTAATTTTAACACACTGACGCAGATTTAACACATTCTCACACAGCATTTAGTAAAACACAATTGCTGATAAAGAAACCATTAGAAGACCAAAGCTCCTCATCACCTTTTTAGTTTTAATTTTCCGATTCAGTCTCTGACTCAGTCTTCGATTCAGTCTATGATTCAGTCTTCAATTCAGTCTTCGATTCAGTTTCCAATTCTGAAAAAGAAAACAGTTCATTAGAAGCTTAAATGTTACGTCAAAATGGCACGTAGACAAAAATAAAACTAACAGCCTAATTTATCTTACACATTTTTTAAATTTGTCGTTAGATATCTATCTTTTTATAAAGATGCTAACAATGTGATAAAAATGTGTAAATGGTGAACATTGATTAGGTTGGGTTACGTACTTATTGAACTCTAATATTACTGCAACATGTCATTCATTTAATACAATACCTTTATAAAATGACAATTATATATATAGAAACCAACATCTTAAGGAGAATAAAGATTCAAATTCAGATTTCTCATAAAGTAGCAAAAAAAAAAAAATTTGGGGGGGGGGGTAGAGGGGTTAAACAAGTGATTTTAAATAGAATCAATGACATACAAAATTATATGTTTGATATGTAAGACGACCAGATGGGAATGAGGTGCTGCATGTGACGGAGTGATATGAATAGTAAGTGCACAAAACTATTTCATTCATTACAAAAAATAAAATAGAAAAAGCATCAAAAGAGAGAGTTTGAAAGGAAGAGTGTATCCGTGTGGAAATAAAAAGTGTAGGTAGGCAAGTACCTGATGAGGCATTGTATTCCACTGGTAGAATTATATTTGGACAATGTTGTATATGCATAGTACCAAATAGGAAGTTGAACTCATAACCTTCATATATCTCTCTCAACTTTGGCAAATTAATGAGACTCAATTTCTTCAATTTGGGGAACAGGTTTTTATGATCACCAACTTCACCTTCACATCTCTTAACAACCCTTTCAAATTCAGAGCAATCCTTTATGTGTATTCTCTCTAGTGAAGGACAATGAGAAGCCAGACAATATGATGAGAACAACCATTTCACTTTGTTGCATGCGGTTATCTCAATTTTCTCAAGTTTAGGGAAGCAAACATTAGAAGAAGAAAGGTGCCTGAGTGATTCATCGCAGAATATTCCCTCCCATTCCTCACAATAAGAAACTTTAAGTGACCGTAACTCTGGAAGGCTTGTAACAATAGCAACAGTGAAAACATTTCTCAACTTTGGGCAACTCGTTAATGTAACATCTTCAAGTTTATGGAGGCTCACACTTTGTATGGGACCCTTCCAAATACATTCCAACACTTTTATATCTTCTAAATATATAAAGCATAATTCTGAATTCACTCCCCTTGCTCTCTCATTCTCGTTTTTCTGTAAAGTAATTATATTAAATAGTTATATGACAATCTGAAAGATGGGCAATATCTATGAACCACACATCAAATACAACTATAAATTAACAATACGAATTAAATCCCTTTTTTCACATAATTTTAATATTGTAATAACATAAAAATTATTTAGCAATGTGAAAGAAATTACTTCGGCAAAAATTTTAAGAGCAAACGAACAAAAGGAGTTAACGTTTTATCAGAGAAAAATTCATCAATAAAAATAACAAATAGAGATTAAAAATAATAGCATTTTATCATTCATGTTTATTATTTATTATAGAGAAGCAACAAGTTGAGCTAAAAATAATATTTGATTGTTCACAGAAAATACTTACGTGTTGCGGACACTCCAAAAATCCTCCTCCAAATATGTCTCTCAATTTCGGCAACTCTCTCAGATCTAATTTCTTCAGTTTGAGAAGAGGTAGCCGCCAATCCCCATCATGTGCTGCTTCTTCATCAACAACCCTTTCCAGTTCAGAGCAATCACCTATGCCCAACCCCTCTAGTGAAGGACAATGATGAGAAGCCATAGAATATGAGAACACCCTTTTCATTTTATGGGACATCCATATTTCAATTGTCTCAAGTTTGGGGAAGCAAACATTAGAAGAAGAAGAAAGATTTTCTAGTGATTCTTCACAAAATATTCCTTCCAATTCCTCACAAGACCCTACTTCTAATCTCTCCAACTCTGGAAGGTTTGTGACAATTGCAAGAGTGAAAATATTCCTCAACTTTGGACAATTCCACAGGTCAACACTTCCAAGTCTATGGAGGCTCACGCTCTGTGTGGGGCCCTTCCAAATGTATTCCAACTCTTTTAGATCACGTAAAAATATATAACACAACTCTGAATTTGTAGCCCTTGCTCTCTTATTCTCATTTTTCTGTAAAGTAATTATATCCAATGATTACATGACAATCCAAAAGATGGACAATATACATGAACCATATCAAATCAAACTGTAAATTAACATTAGTATTTTTAATATTATAATAACGTAATCTCAATAAGATAAATTTTACTAATTTAGGCTTTCATATATTATCCACACTGATTTGTTACAAATAAAACAGTATTGAATAATTACTTTCCATTTCCACAACAATGAGCTGGAGCGAAAACATTAATTAAAACAAAAATTGAAATAATTATTGCCCAAAATTTGATAGTAAAAATACGATTTTTTTCAAATCAATTAAAATTTTTAACAAGAAAAAGGGGGGAGAATTAACAAAAGGAAAAAAATCTCTTTAAAATATCTAAACGACAAATTTGACAAAGCAAACATGTCAATTTTTACGACACTCTTAACAATATAAACCCAATCAATTTCGCACATTTGACAAAGTGGTGCATTTAGCAAAGTTAAAGAAATTATTTGACAATTTTTTTTTAAAAAAAGAACAAAAGAAGTTAACGTTTTATCAAAATTTATCAAGAAAAAATAACCAATTAAACCCCATTTTTCACATAATTTTAATATTGTAATAACATAAGTTTTATTAATTTAGACCTCAATATATTATCCACACATCATTGTCTCAAATAAAACAGTCTTGGATAATTATGTTCCATTTCTACAATAATGAGCTGGCACCAAAACATTAACCAAAAACTGAAATAATTAGTTCCTGTTATTATATTCAAGATATATTCTTAAAACTAATATATATATATCTATATTCTTTGATAGTAAACACGATTTTTTCAAATAAATTTAAAAATAAACATGCCAATTTTTAAAAGGAAAAGAGGTAGAGTCAACAAAGGAAATTATTTGGCAATGTGAAAGAAATTATTTTGACAAAAATTTTAAAAGCAAAAGAACAAAAGGAGGTAACGTACGTTTTATCAGGGGAAAAAAAAAGTTCACCAACAAAAAAAATAACAAATACAGATTGAAAATAATAGCATTTTATCATTCATGTTTATTATTTATTATGAGAAAAGCAACAATTTGAGCTAAAAATAATATTTGATTGTTTACGGACAATACTTACGTGTTGCTGACACTCCAATAATCCTCCTCCAAATATCTCTCTCAATTTTGGCAACTCCGTTAGAGATAATTGCTTCAGTTTGAGAAGAGGTAGCGGCCAATCCCCATCATGTGTTGCTTCTTCATCAACAACCTTCTCCAGTTTAGAGCAATTATCTATTTCCAAGTTCTCTAGTGAAGGACAATGATGAGAAGCCATAGAATATGAGAACACCCTTTTCATTTTATGGGATTCCGATATCCTAATTTCCTCAAGTTTGGGGAAGCAAACATTAGAAGAAGAAGAAAGATTTTCAAGTGATTCTTCACAAAATATTCCCTCCCATTCCTCACAAAAAAATACTTCTAATGTCTTCAAGTCTGGAAGGCTTGTGACAATTGCAACAGTGAAAATATTCCTCAATTTTGGGCATTCCCACAATTCAATACCTTCAAGTCTATAGAGGCTCACACTTTGTGTGGAGCCCTTCCAAATGTATTCCAACTCTTCTAGATCACGTAAAACTATAGAACACAACTCTGAATTCGTGGCCCTTGCTCTCTTATTCTCATTTTTCTGTAAAGTAATTATATCCAATGATTACATGACAATCCGAAAGATTGACAATATAAATGAGCCATATCAAATCAAACTGTAAATTAACACTAATATTTTTAATATTGTAATAATGTAATCTCAATAAGATAAATTTTACTAATTTAGGCCTTCATATATTATCCACACTGATTTGTTACAAATAAAACAGTATTGAATAATTACTTTCCATTTCCACAACAATGAGCTGGAGCGAAAACATTAATTAAAACAAAAATTGAAATAAGTATTGCCCAAAATTTGATAGTAAGAACACGATTTTTTCAAATCAATTAAATTTTTTAACAAGAAAAAGAGGGAGAATTAACAAAAGGAAAAAAAAATCTCTTTAAAATGTCTAAACGACAAATTTGACAAAGCAAACATGTCAATTTTTACGACACTCTTCACAATATAAACCCAATCAATTTCGCACATTTGACAAAGTGGTGCATTTAGCAAAGTTAAAGAAATTATTTGACAATTTTTTGTTAAAAAAAAAGAACAAAACAAGTTAAGGTTTTATCAAAATTCATCAAGGAAAAATAACAAATTAAACCCCATTTTCACATAATTTTAATATTGTAATAACATAAGTTTTATTAATTTAGACCTTCATATATTATCCACACTGATTTGTTCCAAATAAAACAGTCTTGGATAAATACTTTCCATTTCCACAATAATGAGCTGGCGCCAAAGCATTAACCAAAAATTAAAATAATTAGTTCCTCTTCCTCTTATTATATTCAAGATATATTCTTAAAACTAATATATATATATATCTATATTCTTTGGTTTTTCCAAATAAATTTAAAAATAAATATGCCAATGTTTAACAGGAAAAGAGGTAGACTAAACAAAGGAAATTATTTGGCAATATGAAAGAAATTATTTTGACAAAAATTTTAAAAGCAAAAGAACAAAAGGGGTTAACGTACGTTTTATCAGAGAAAAAAAGTTTCACCAACAAAAAAAATAACAAATACAGATTAACAATAATAGCATTTTATCATTCATGTCTATTATTTATTATGAGAAAAGCAACAAGTTCAGCTAAAAATAATATTTGATTGTTTGTGGAAAATACTTACGTGTTGTTGCGGACACTCCAATAATCCTCTTCCAAATATGTCTCTCAATTTTGGCAACTCTCTTAGATGTAATTCCTTCAGTTTGAGAAGAGGTAGCCGCCAATCCCCATCATGTGCTTCTTTTTCATCAACAACCCCCTCCAGTTCAGAGCAATACTCTATTTCCAAGTTCTCTAGTGAAGGACAATGATGAGAAGCCATAGAATATGAGAACACCCTTTTCATTTTATTGCATCTCCATATCAGAATATTCTCAAGTTTGGGGAAGCAAACATTAGAAGAAGAAGAAAGATTTTCAAGTGATTCTTCACAAAATATTCCCTCCAATTCCTCACAGGAATCTACAAGTAATGTCTTCAATTCTGGAAGGCTTGTGACAATTGTAAGAGTGAAAATATTCCTCAACTTTGAACAATTCCACATGTGAACACTGTCAAGTCTGTGGAGGCTCACGCTCTGTGTGGGACCCTTCCAAATGTATTCCAACTCTTCCAGATCATCTAAAGATATAGAACACAACTCTGAATACGCGGCCCTTGCTTTCTTGTTTTCATTTTTCTGTAAAGTAATTATATCCAATGATTACATGACAATCCGAAAGATGGACAATATACATGAACCACAACAAATCAAACTATAAATTAACATTATGAATGAAACCCTTTTTTTTTTGTTTGTATATTTTTACTATTGTAATAACGTAATCTCAATAAGACAAATTTTACTAATTTAGGGCTTCATATATTATCTACACTGATTTGTTACAAATAAAACAGTATTCCTCCGGTCCTAAATATAAGACCTATACTAGTATGTATAATTACTTTCCATTTCCACAACAATGGGCTGGAGCGAAAAGATTAATTAAAACAAAAGTTGAAATAATTATTGCTTCTTATTAAACAAAAATTTGACAATAAAAACATGATTTTTTTTCAAATAAATAAAAAATTTTAACAAGAAAAAGAGGGAGAATCAATAAAAGGAAGAAAGTCTCTTTAAAATATCTTCTTTTTTTTTTTTAGCTGAGTCTCTTTAAAATATCTAATCGACAAATTTTACAAAACAAACATGCCAATTTTTACGACACTCTTCACAATATAAACCCAATCAATTTCGCCCGTTTGACAAAATGATGCATTTAGCAAAGTAAAAGATATTATTTGACAATTAAAAAAAAAGAACAAAAGAAGTTAATGTTTTATCAAAATTCATCAAGAAAAAATAAAAAATTAAACCCCATTTTTCACATAATTTTAATATTGTAATAACATAAGTTTTATTAATTTAGACCTTCATATATTATCCACACTGATTTGTTCCAAATAAAACAGTCTGGGATAATTACTTTTCATTTCCACAATAATGAGCTGGCGCCAAAACATTAACCAAAAATTGAAATAATTAGTTCCTGTTATTATATTCAACATATATTCTTAAAACTAATATATATATATATTCTTTGGTAGTAAGCACGATTTTTCCAAATAAATTTAAAAATAAACATGCCAATTTTTAACAGGAAAAGAGGTAGGCTCAACAAAAGAAATTTTTTAGCAATGTGAAAGAAATTTTGACAAAAATTTTAACAGCAAAAGAACAAAAGGAGTTACGTACGTTTTATCGGGAAAAAAAAAGTTCACCAACAAAAGAAATAAGAAATACAGATTAAAATTAATAGCGTGTTATCATTCATGTTATTATTTATTATGAGAAAAGCAACAAGTTGAGCTAAAAATAATATTTGATTGTTCGCGGAAAATACTTACATGTTGCGGACACTCCAATAATGCTCCTCCAAATATCTCTCTCAATTTCGGCACCCTTTGTAGATCTAATTCCTTTAGTTTGAGAAGAGGTAGCGACCAATTCCCATCATGTGCCGTTTCTTCATCAAGAACCCTCTCCAGTTTAGAGCAATCATTTATGTTCAGCTTCTCTAGTGAAGGACAATGATGAGAAGCCATAGAATATGAGAACACCCTTTTCATTTTATGACATCTCCATATGTCAATATGCTCAAGTTTGGGGAAGCAAACATTAGAAGAAGAAGAAAGACTTTCAAGTGATTCTTCACAAAATATTCCCTTCCATTCCTCACCAGACTGTACTCGTAATGTCTTCAATTCTGGAAAGCTTGTGACAATTGCAAGAGTGAAAACATTCCTCAACTTTGAGCAGTCCCACAATGCAACATCTTTAAGTCTATAAAGGCTCACACTTCGTGTGGGACCCTTCCAAATATATTCCAACTCTCCTAGATCTGATAAATGTAATGAACGCAACTCTGAATTCAATGTCAAAGGTTCGTCGCTTGCTTCAATGGATTCTATTCCTCTGACTTGGTGAACCTCAAACAGAGTACCTTTCATTCCGCTTCTTTCAATATCTACATATTTCAAACTTAGGAAAGGGGTCCAGAGTTTCTGATTTCGTGAATGGTGGGAGCTTTCCGCAGTAGTGACCACAATCTGATTCCCCTGTACATACATATATATGCATTCAAATTATAATTAAGAAATGCACACATTAATTACAACTTGTCTCTTACTCTCATCGTGTTAGTCAGAATTATTTTCTTAACAAAAATAGGAAATAAAAAAATAAAGCGTTGTTCAAAATATGAAATTAATTATTTGGAAAATATATACAGTTGCATTTGGCAAATTAAAAGTAATCATTTGATAAAAGATTTTTAATATGAAAGATACAAATCGATAAAAACAAATAGCATTTCTTGTCTTGAAATAAAAAGTAAAACTCAAATAGTAGCTCAATCACACACACTTACAAGCATATAAAAACACTACGTATGACGTTTGCTACAGAGCTTTCAAATTTCAGAAATAAAAAATAAAGTTATATATTTGCAAAAACTTGAATTAAAGAAAATGACTATTGCCTCTCATTCAGAATGTGTTGGAGTACTTTTTTAATCTTACGTATATTATTTGCTTATAAACATGACTTTTTAAAATAAAGTTTAAAAGTAAACAGGCCAATTTTTAATTAAAAAAAAAAACTAGGTAGAATGCACCAAAAGCAAAAACGAAATGTCCGAAAAATATGTGCAACTAGCAATTGCACGAATTTAGACTAGCCTCTAAAAACTAGTTTCCGCAATATATAGATGATGTTAGAAATTGTAATACACAACTATTTATTTGACCAGAAAGTTAAAACCACCAAATAGAGTGATAAAGTAGGCACATTAATTTCTCATGATAATTTAAGAAAAGGATATAAAATTCAGCACCATAAGAAAAGAAACAAATTCAGCTTGCAACCTTTTTCCAGCAAACGCATCAACATGGATTATTATTTCAAATGTGCAATGATTCAAGACGAATTTTGCGGATATAACACTTACGTATGGATAGTCTTGAAGGGCCTCCCTTTGTTGCAGCAGACAATCACCATGCGCATCTTCTTCATCAGTGAGCCTCTCAAGTTTAGGACAATCCTTTATTAGCAATTCCTCTAGCGAAGGACACTGAGAAGCTAGAGAATAAGAGAATAGCCATTTCAATTTGCTGCAATCCTCAATCTCAAGTTTCCTCAGCTTCGGTAGGCTTGTAACAGTGGCATGGGTGAAGATGTAGGTTCCCAATTCTGGACACCTCTCTAGAAACAACTCTTGTAACATCAGGAGAGAACATGTGATCGATGAATCTTGGAACACTCCTTCAAGACTATTCATGTTTATCAATCTTAAACTAATCAGGTGGGAGAACACTTGTCCTGTTTGAAGAATGTTGGTACTAAGGTTATCAGCTATGAATCTCTTCTCCACGCAGCATGAAATTGCTAAGTGCTTTATTTCACAATTTATATCATTAAGATCCCACCTACAATTGTCTAGCCAAAGGCAGTTTGGTCTAAGAATGAGATCTTTCATTGATGAATCCGAAACAGAGACTTTGAAGCCTTGTATGCACCAAGCTCTCAGTTCTTCAATACAGTGAGTATCACAATATTCTAGAAAAAGAGGATGTAGATATCTAGAAATACTCAATGATGCGACATTATAGATAACGTACCTCTTCAACCTCTTCAACCTTGAAAGAGAGAAATTTTCTGGGATGGCAGATTTCTTTTCCCAAAAGTATAATTCTTCAAGTTGCTCACATCTTCCAATAACTTCAAAAGGACTTTTCTCAATTTCACACCCAAACACATCCAACAGCTTCAATTTTTTCATACCTACAATTCCAATAGGTAATTCATCAAATTGAGAACCACGCAAGTCAAGAATCTCTAATCCTTTGAGTTGACCTAGAAAAGAGATGTCACCCAATGCAATTCCTCTTAAGCATAAGGTATGAAGATTAATTAATGATGACACAATTGATTGCGGCATTGACCAATGAATTTGTGTATGCCAACCAAGTCCTTCCCATTGAAAGCTAGATGTTGCAAGGACCAAGATTTTGAGTGCTTCAATCCCTCCAAGATCTTCAATGAACCCTTTGGGATGAAGTAGCAGAACCTCAAGTGTTGGACAATGCAATTGATTAGACTGCCAACAATTACCTTCCAGATTCCATAATGATATTACCTTTGTCTCTTTCAAACTTCCATTTTCAGCCAACATTTTTGAAACCGCATCGCTATCCACCAAAATTGCTTGATGTTGCTCCCTTGCAATCCATAAAGCTACATCCCGAACTAAATCATGCATTTTTAGACATGCTTGCTCATTTGTATGCATTAATAAACAAGAATCTAATAGACTGTTGATGCTTACTAAAATCTCCCTCCTTGCATCCTCCACTGCATAAACAATATTCCCCTCAAATTTCAAAGTCCCTTTGGCAAATCGAATAAGATCCTCTCTATGAATTTGATGATCTTCAGGAAACATAGAGCACAATAGGAAGAGTTGCTTTGCTAGACTTGTTGGCAAATAATCATAACTCAATTTGAGACATGCATAAGGGCCCTTTGAACTCTCATCAATATCCAATGGTAGGGCTTGTTGTAGCCTCCATAGTGCTCGCTTCCAGTCCAGAATTCCTCTTCCTCTTAATGCCCTTCCCACTGTCACAATTGCAATAGGTAGTCCCTTGCACTCATCAACAATTTTCTTTCCCACACCAACAAACTCATTCAATGAGTCATGGGTTCTGTTTGCATGCATCTTTAACAAATCCCATGCTTCCTCCTCAATCAAGAGAGGCAATTCAAAATTTTCCTCACAACCCATATAGCGACAAACATCTAGACGACGAGTAGTTAACAAAACGCGACAATTTTCATTAATCGGAATACCAATTTCTTGGAGATTTAGATCGCTCCAAACATCGTCCAAGATTATAAGTATTTTCATCCTTTTGAATTCAGTTAATAGCCTCGCTGCTATGATTGCTTCAATATTTTCCTCAAATTTCAAACCCGTTTTTCCTTTTATTTGTTCTTGGATGTTCCTAACATTAAGAGGCCGAGAGACAACTACCGGGACCACTTTGTCAAAAAGCTTCAGCCGTTCAACTTTCTTACCCACTTCGATTGCCAAGGTGGTTTTACCTGAGCCCCCAATACCATACAGGCCCACCATCCTATTCTTGCCATCTTTAATAGCCTCGAAAAGGCTATTAAAAATTGACTCCCTTGATTTGAAGTCCATGACATCCTTGGAAGAAAATTGATCACTGAGATTAGGAGGTGGTTTCGGCAGGGAAAATGGCTCAGAGGGGGGATTGTCTTTGAGATCCTTCATCTGCTTCGCCTTATCATCCATTTCTTTTGCTAAGGAATACTTGAGCGACATGTTAAAACATTTCTTTCCTCCTCCTCCAACCTCTTGCTGTAGCTTTTGCACCTCCTCTAGGAGAGCATTCACATCATCCAACCACTTCTTTGCAGATGGTATTATTTCTTCAGCTTTTCGATGAGCTTCTTCCTTACGCTTTTTCACATCTTCTAGTGTCACCTCCAACCCTTCTTTTATTTTCTCAACATCCTCAATGTATTGGTTGAAGCAAAACAAATAACGGGCACGACGTGAAATTGGATCCCATAGACATTCTGCAAGCTTGGTCGCAATACAAGTCCCAATTTCTTCCATCTAATGCAATACAAGTAAATCTTATGTATAAATACACCAACTTGTAATAATTCCAAATACAAAATAATGTCGCAAGCATAACACGCTGACAACATGTATAAATTTGAGATTGGATGAAGAAATAATTCACTTTATATATGTTTAGGAGATATTATATTGTATTAAAAAAAATTTCTAGAATTCACACAACGGTTCAATTAGTTAAGTTTTCGTTTGATATATAATATAAACTTTTTTAATCAAGGGACTTGACTTGGAGAAAATAGTTGTGAAAACGTAAATTTATAATACAATTATCTAATGATTTCAATTTTGAGTTGAAGTGATGTTCAAATAATATAAAAAAATTACACAACAAACTTATGGCTAGAAGAAGTAAATAATTTATAAGAGGATATAATTAACAGTAGAAACTGAGACTCTTTCAAAAAAGGGTAGTTAACTGTTAATACACATGGTCCTTAACATAACAGTTAAATAATTAACGTAGAGATATTATAAAAATTAATTAAATTGACTATTTGTAACAAATATGCACTGATTTCTTTAAACAGGAATTCACACAAGTAAAAAAAAGAAGAAAAAAAGGACCTTTTATACTGGTTAGAAAACGGCATTTTAACTGGTTAGAAACATTTTTTGTAATGGTGTTAGTATGATCATTTATTATTTTCAAATGGAAACTAAAAATTGTAGTAATCTTCTTAATAATTTAAAGTGAATTAAATTAAAACAATTTATATAGGTGCAAAAATGGTTCAATTAACATAAATTCAGAATAATACAGAAAATCATCTATCAAATTCAGTGTTTTTGATGCAGTTGTATTCTTTCGCCAGAAGAAAAGTTATTCCCCCCCCTATATCGAGACAAGTTGGATTTTAATAGAAAAATAATTAAAAAAAATTTAAGTCAAATTTCTTATATCTATTATGTCAGTTCTTCAATTCCATATAATCACGTGTCCTTTTTTATTTGATGTGAATTTATAATTAAACGCTACTATTTTAAGAATAGGATACATGTTCATATGTGGTTGAAGAACTTGACATAACAAAAATAAAAAACTTGATGTAAGTATTATCCGAAATTAATTTCCCCGGTAAAATATGAACAAAAAATAAATTAGAAATAAAGAGAATAAAGAACTCCATAAATTTGACGGACTGATTGAAAAATAATTTTTTTGACAAAAATAAAGTAAATTCTTCAAATCCTTTTCATAATGTAGTTATGCTACCATTTAAGAATTGGAACAAATATATTTGTTGGATATTGCCGTAAAATAATTATAATTCAACATTAAATCCTTCACAGCTAAGGGATTTATCAAGAATTGGACAAAATAGATGCAATAGACTTCATCAATTTGTTTTGTTTCTAAAGTTAAAATAAATATAATTCAAGAACAAAGAATATCTAAAATAAGGAAATGATGTTCCGATCATATTTACCTTACTAAAAAATTTATTAAAAGTCATGTAAAAATACTAGTACTTGAATGCTGTTCTTTTTCAATGACACGCGATGTTATTATTTAACGTTAACATGAATTGATGAAAAGACAAGTTATAAGGTAAAAATGATACCTACTCACCTACTATTAGAATTTTTTTAATGATTATTTTTATGATTGGTTAACCTCCATTGACTGTGGCTGATTGGTAGTCGGCATCAATCAAATGCGGGGATTCAAACACATTTATATCATTTAACAAGAAAAATTAATTCAAACTAAGTCTGAAACTACCTCCAAAATAGTATTTTGATTTGATTGGCTTAGTGGTTATGAATTCAAAACCTTTTGGCCACCTTATTTTAAAAAAATTCTTCTGGCCACCGGAGTCCCGATTTTGAATGCCAGTGGTCGGAGCTCCGAAGACAATTAATTTAAAAAAAAAAATTAAAAAGAGGTATTATTATATTTTTATTCTTAAGTTTTAATTTCATTTTAGTTCAAGGGGGTTAATTGAAATTTTGAAATGATTTGGAGGTTTACTGATATTAATTAGCTACAGTGATCCTATAATAAACTTTTCCCTTAATTTAAAGAATTCTTTTCTTTTCAAAATATAAGTACTACTACACTGTATTTTTATTTTAACAGGAAAACTAAAGCATTTAATAATCATACTATTAATAAATTTAACTGATTCAAATTAAAAATATAATTATTTATAAAAAATAAATTATGTTAAATGAAGAATAATATAAAATAACATCTAATAAACCCAGTGTTTAATGTACAAATATTAGATTCTTTATTTGACAGGCAAATATTTTTATGTTAAAAAAATTCTAGGTGAGACTTGAGTTTATGGTAAAATTATTTGTTATATAAGAATCTTCTGACCTAAAGGCTAAGCCTTTAAAGAAAGTTCCACTTTATATAGTGGCATCTCCACTCTATATAGTGGCATCTAAATTGATACAGACATGTACTAATGAAAATTGGGTCTAGTAAAAAGGATTAGTCCCTTACAATATAATGAATCAAAATTCGAATCTCTATTAGGAGAGGTGTTTACATTTAGTGTCCAACAGTACCTCGAATAAGATTACCTTCAATAGGAGGATACTTATGCTTTAGCAAAAAAAAAAAAAAAGATACAGACATGTAAAGTAAAGTAGAGAGATGATAATAAAACTAATAGTTTTTGGATTAAAAAAATTAAATTGTAAAAATAAAAGTAAATTATTCTTTACTTGAGTATTTTATCAAGGTACCATCTCCTATGGTGATTGAGAATTTATTTCCTTATTATACTCATGCTAAACAATTAAAAATGAAAATAAGTAAATAAATAGATAATGAGTTTTGGTATGTGGGTTATTCAGATAGTGTAATTGTCACTAACCTCAAATATCAGAATAGAATTGGACGAGTGATGCAGAAATATCCACTTCAGATCAAATTAAGAGATGCCCAGCTACACGAAGTTAGCAAATAACAATTAGAAACAGAAACAAGAAGTATACATAATTCAATTATTGTAAATTCAGCATAATATATTATAAAGAAGTGTCTCACAGATTGTGTTTAATTTATAATATTATTATGCCTGAAAAGTTAATTTAAAGTCCAATAATGTTTTGATTTTCTATTACTCCTCTTGTCCTAAATATAAGACCTTTTTTTATAATGTACTTTATAAAAAGAGTCTTATATTTAGAACCTGAAGAGTAATAAACAAATATATAACGCCAAGTAGTATATATAGTACCTTGATAAAAACTCAAATTTGGAGTTCAAATAATGATCAAACAATAAATAAACACGAGACGTACATAGTAGAATTGATCTTATGTATCGTTGACTCTGGATTTTAATATTAAAAACTAATAAATCTTTTTATGTTAAAGCAAGCGATATATAGTATAATTTCGTAACACGTGTTTCTAATAATTTCCTGCTGAAAGAAATCTATCGTTTGAGGACACGTAAGATAAATAAATAATATTGTCCTAGGAATTGTCAAGTTCAGATTTGTGCGATATGTTCAGATGCAAATGCAAGAAAGAAACAAGCAACGATTGTCTCTAAATTAAAACAATGGCATTATTTTGATAAATATTAAAGTATTAACATATTTAATAAAAAAATAATCTTTAAGAATTTGTTTTCATAACTGCTTTACGTCTATATCATTTCATAAGAAAAAATAATCATAACTAACTTCACAAAACTTAATTAGAAATAAATTCTTTATTTAAAACTTATAGATGTAATTACCATTTTTTCAAATAATATCATTACCTATTAATCCTGGTAAATGGTAATTGCGTATTATATAGAAATGTCAACAAGGAGAGAAAAAGTTGTCCAAGCCAAAATTGAATGCATTTTTTGTGACTGGCCAAAGTACACGCATCTCTAAAAATCATTATATACTTTTATTTTAATAGAAAAACTAAAGCTTTTAATAATCAATTAATAAATTTTATTGACTTAAATTAAAAATATATGATTACTTATAAAAAAACTTAAATCAAGTTAATTTCAGAAAACTATAAGAAACCCATCTAATAAATCCATTATTTGATGTATAAATACTAGTTCCGTTGATTGAAAAACAAATACTTTACATATGCAAAAAGATTAGGTAAGACTTAAGTTTGTAATAAAATTATTCGTTATTTAAGAATCTGAACATTGAGTTCAAATGATAATCAAAGAATATAATAGATGAGACAATACAATAGACATGTAAAGTAGCCAGATGATAATGAAGGTAAGAGAATCCTTGGATCATAAAAAAAAGTGAAAAAAAGAAGTCCTTCATCAAGCTAAATAAAAAGGAAAAAAGAAAATAAATAAATAAATAGATCAGTTAAATGACTTAATCTAATATAATCGTTGCTTACCTTAAATGTGATGATGAAATTAGACAAATAACGCAGAAACGTCTTCCGGAGTGACTCTCAAATCAAATTAAGAGATTATGCCCCACTACACACAAATAGCAAACAACAATTCACCCAATTAGTGCAAACATATTATTAAGTTAAAAATTTAACTTAATGATGTAACAAAATATATAAGACAAAAAACCTTCTGTCTACTTTATGGTCATGTGAAGAAAAAAAAAAAAACAAACAAACGACTGAATGTCTGGGCATATTAGTGGAGGACAGAGAAACCGCAACTGCTGGAAGATCCATTGCATCAACCGCAGGGTCTATTGTCACCCAAAAAAAATTAAAAAAGAATTATACTCTGTTATTTACCTTCCCTTTGTTTTTTTTTTTTTTTTTTTTTTGAGGCAGAACAAGAACTAATGGGAAGCAGAGCAGAGAGCTGATCAGCGAAAGTGGGGCGCTGCACACCAGAAGAGGCAGAAGCTTGGGGTCTGGAATCTGGGGATCCAAAAGGTGATATTGGAATTTGATGCGAGAGAAGTCGTTAGAAGGTTGAAGGGGAAGGAAAACGAAGGAAGCTTTACCAGTGGTTTATGGAAGGAGATTGCTGACTTAATGGATCGAAGGTGGGAAGTCAGAGCAGAGTGGATTAGGCGAGAAGCAAACGCTGTGGCGGACGCTCTTGCGAAGTTGACTTTGGAAATGGTTGGGTCCTTGCAGTTCTGGAAAGAGGAAGTAGACCTTGAAGGATCTATGCGAAGAATATAAAATGAGAGGAAGAGGGGATAACTGTCGTGTAAATGGAGTCGGGAGTAGTGCGTTGGGCTTGGGCCCTCTTTTGTCAGCCCAAAAAAATAGCAGAGAGTTGATGATCACACCTCCTTCTGAAAAAGGCAATGAAAGAAACAGTAGCGTAAACAACATAATGAGGCCTTAAATAAATAAACAAAATTAAAATAGAAAAGAAAAGGAAATTATTCTTTACTTGAATTTATATATACTGTAACCAAATCAGAACTCTGGTTATTTTGCAAGAAGGTTGGTTTGAGGTAAATCTGAAGTGGTTGCGGCTGACGAATGAAACAGGGAATGTTTGGGGGTGGGGGGTCATGATGCTGATGAAAATGGTTCTCAGAGTATTATGGCTACTAAGACAAAGGAAAATTGTCAGCTTCGTATTCTAAATCTAATGAAGTTCTTAAAGGAAAGAAAGTTAATTTCCTGGATCCAGTACAAGAAGTTTCTGAAATTTGCAATAATTCTTTGTATTCTTCCTTGAATAATGTTGATCATGGTGCTAGCACTAGTGGAACCAAGTTCCTAGGAAGGCTGTTATCTGATTATGAAGAGGCGGTAGGAGTCATAACTAAGAAGTCTGATGCTGGTACTGAGAACTGAGAAAGTTCCTTCTGTTCATATGGATAGTGATAATAGTTCTAAAGCAATTGTAGGTTTAAAAAGGGTTTTATTTGGAAAATGTCACTGTCAATTTGGGGAATTTGAACCTGAAACGGGAAGCTTATGATGATTTGGAGTGTGCAGTGGTGATGCTGATAGGAAGAATTCTGTCCCTGAGTTTGCAGGGGACTTCAGGGAAACAAAAGCTAAGATGACAAGAATTGCTTTGAGGAAAGCCAAGTAGTATGAGGAATCTGGCATATCTGATTCGATGGAAATTCCAAAGGCAAAGGTGGGTGGCCTTCAACAGCCCCATCAATCTCATGAAAATCATAACATGGAATTGTGAAGGTTTGGGGGTTGCTTTGACAATTAGAAATTTGAAAGACTGCTATAGAAAAGTCGGACCTTCAATCTTTAGTTCGTGGGGTCAATGATGCTTGGCTTTGCGCAGGTGATTTTAATGAACTTGGTTCTCAAACGGAAAACAAGGCGAAAGTCTCCTCCAATAGGTTCCGTTGAAATAAACTTAGATGGAGCTTTTAGTTTGCTGGAATTGGGATTGTTTGAACAAATGAAGAGGGTTTGTTTCTTGGCAGTTTGTGCAGAAAAATGAGATCACTGACAGTGATGCTATTCCTTTCAGTGATCAATTTATTATTCAAAGATATATTTTGACACTGATTGCCAAGAACTTTACAGAGCTAATGTGGCTAAATCCTCAAGTAATGTTGAATGGCAAAATACTGCTATAGTCAGTATGATTCTGGACATGTTGAAAATTATGCTGACTTGACTTTGTATTTGTATTTACCAGCCTTATTTCTTTGCTGGCTGTTTCCCTTCAATAAATATATTTGTTGTTAAAAAAAAACACAAGAAGTTGGGAGAATTGCTCCTAGGTCTTAGATAAGAAAACTAAATATGGATATGTCCCGAAAATTTCATATTTACAACTTGACTTGCCTTCTTTTCTTTTCTCTCTGTTTTTTTTTAAACTTTGCCAACAATTGACTTGCATTGTTTACCAGTCAAACTCACATATTTATAAGTTGAGTAACTAGGATTTAGTTCCCGTGCAACGCACGGAATGAATTGACTTCAACGTATGGTATTAAATAATTTGTTCTCAACAAATACGCAGTTACTAACATAGCTACCTCCTCCATCCATCTACCCATACTACAACATCAAACGTGAATTGTAATTAAACATGTAATTATATTAACCTAGGACATTTTTTTTCAAGACTTTTCCGTACCCCCCCCAAAAAAAAAACCATAGCTCAACACAAACCAGAGAAAGGAAAATGAAACACTAATTTCTTAAAGAGCCACACATAATCTGGGATTCTGGATTCATAGCAGTCTACAGTATTTTATAGCATAGCATGATCAAGTCCAGGAAAAGTCTTATGTTGGAACTCAGCTCTGTTTGATTAAAGGAAATATCTATCACTGGAAGCTTCAGAAGGAAAGATGATGTGGGAGGGGCCTCAAAATAGATAACGGGACTCAAATATTCAAGAAATCTTGTATTTTTCTCTTCTCCTTTTTTCGCCCCAAATTAGATGTGGATGTTGGCATTATTTCATGCGTACATTTTCATATTAACATCCAGCTTAATTGTTTAAAAAAGTAATGTGCAAACAAGAGCTTACTCTTCACAGCACCAGCTAGCAAATCCTAGCCACAATAACTTTTATTCATTCTGCCTAGTTTTAGAGATCAAAGTACATGAGAAGTAAAAGAAATATAAAAAAACAAAGATTGTGGAATTATAGCAGCATTCAGTAGCTAGGCATGGATCATTGAGAGAAAGCTCAGCAAATCTTGTTTCTGCTGTAGATATTCTAAAGACATTGTTTTTCATACTTTTATGGTACACTTTCAGCCTGTTTTTAACCTTGCAAGTTCCTTCTACAAGCAAACTATGTATAAATTCCCCTTTTGCTTGTAAACAGGCACAATAAAAGTCTGTTAGGTGTCACTACGGGAAAGTTTCCAGCTCCTTTCCTGATGAATACTATTTACTTTGCAACGCAAGCTGTGTTTTCAAACTTTATCACTTGGTTTTGGTCTCATAGATTCCAAACTAGTGTTTCTATGTCTTGGAGGGATTACTTATGGCGAGGTAAATGTGTAATTTGGGTATATTTTATTTTATTTTTATTTATTTATTTTTTTGCCTTCTTTCTTCAAGTATAAATATATGTCATGCAAAACTTGGAATAATATTGTCTTAAAATGATGACAATCATAGTAATTGGAATCAGTAACTTGTAGATTTTGAGTGGACAGTAATATTTATACCAGAATAGAGTTAAAAAACTCTAACCGAATAACTTTGTATTGGGCATTGACCGGGTCTTTGATAGAGAAGACAAAGATACTCTGTTCATCCCCAATGTCTTGCTTGACCACTACCAAAGAATTAACTGAAGTTGGCAAATTAGTCCTTAATTATCTTCTATCTACTTCCGGAACTATGTTTGATGGTTGATCTCCATGTCTTTGTACTTTCAAAGCTTTTTTGGCTCTACTAAAGTTATTGTATTTTTATTGAAAAAATTGAATTATTATGAATTACAATCCACTGATGTCATTATTACAACCCTACAAGAACTTTTTCAAACGTTCTATGCCATTGCATTTAATCTTATTCCATTGGGAGTGTCCTATTTTAAACAGAATTTTGGTGGAAGTTTCATTTTTTTTTAATACTGACAACTATTTTCTACAACAGCATCTCTTTTCTACTCATCTTTCCTAATATTCCCATAATTTACATCACATCCTAGTCTTATTGCTTTGTGTGTGTGTACACACACATGAATGGATTCTTGTAATTGTTTTGCCTTTCAGATTATCATCCCCTTCATTGAATGCACACATGCTTTTGACATGAAATGGTCAAAGAATATTTGTTATGGACAATGGTATGACTTTTTTTTTTAAAAAAAAAAAGATTTCCCCCTTCTCCACGTGTCGGTACTTTTGTTGTAAATTTATAACCGCTTACTTTATTGACTTTTCTATCAACTAATCCCACAGATGAAATTTGCCTTTCACAGTTGTACCAACTGCTCTAGGGATAGCATTGGATATCAACTTAAGCAATGCTTCTCATGTTTTCATCTCTGTCACTTTTGCTACAATGGTTAGTGACGTTTCTCTTTTTGTTGTTCATCAGGAGGGAAACATCTAATAATATCTATTTTATTTTGTATTGTTACTGAAGACCGCGTTATCTTTCTTTCTTTCTGTTTTTCTTGCCCTGAGGAAGTAACTATCCTTATTTTCTACATTTACCTCTATTTTATTTTCTTGCTTGTAGTGTAAATCTACTGCTCTAATTTTTCTCCTTCTATCTGCTTTTGCTTTCGGGTGAGTTTATAGTCTTTTGATCTTTGTAATTGTTCTTTCTGTTTTTGTGACCTCTGTGAATGCTGGGGATCAAAATTGAACATTCAGTTATGAGGAATTACATTTGTAAGATATATTGAGGAAATTAAATTCTATATTATGAAGTCTAACCATTCCTAAAATACAACATTGTCTGCAAACTATCAATTATTTAGTACCTAAATGGTTATTGATTCCATACGAACGGTAGACTTATTTTGTGTGACAGAACATTTAGTGGCCCTAGAAGACTTCAAATTGTAGAAAGCTTTAGCTTTGAGGAATAG